ATATATTCAAGGCAACGTTTTCCGTGGGAACGCCTGAAAGGGACAATAAATTAATTCGGCACCGTTTTCTTCCCTTAAACCGAAATTTATTTCGGGTGCTGGTGCCTTGAGTGTTAAAACAACGTTGACACAGAGCGCCAGGATTTGCAGAACACACTCCGCGAAAACGGTTGTCCAGGGCGGGGCATCGTTGGGAATATTAGGAAGAGTGCAAAAGCATGCATCAGTGAAACTGCAGAAGAGGAAGGCCTATGCCTATGCTTTATTTTTCTTCGAGACGCGGTGAGCCTACGCCTGTTATTCCCAAGCTCTTTTCTTATGTGTTTAGAGGTGTTGAGAATATAGACCAACTGCTGTGTCAGATCACACCGCTGTGTGTTTATTTATAAACCTAGTCTATCAAACAGGGATACGGTGACCGTTTACAAAAAACGTTTGTGCGGACAATGTTTACTCTGATAGACGCCAGGTGGTGATGGCAAGCTGTCCTAACTCCTTAAGTCAGACAGGCGCATTCCGCACGTTTGATTTAAAGGCCGCTCAGACGTTACCCCGAACCACCTACAAAGTTGCCATTACTTGGCTTCCTCATGCAGTCGACATTTGAACAAAAGTCAGATTATTCATTATTCCCCCAGAGACGCGTACAAATCTTGCTCGAAGCCTACAAGTTCATTTTCTATATCACATGAGTGACCTGATGAGGAATTAGTGAACAATTGTGGTTGCAAGTTGCCTTTTCTAGCGTACGATGGGTGTTTTTGCAGAACGCGACGTATCTATCTCCAGGGCTCTTTCATACTGGTCTGAAGGCGCATTATTTATTGACAAAAATATTTACAGAGGCATACATTTTGCGACCGGGACAAATATTAATTTTGAATGAAATTATACCATGCGTTCAATATACAAATACTCCAAAAGGTGATTCTTTCTCTTTTATTTATAGTTTTGTCATAAAGAGACTAGGTATGGAGTGAAAGAACTAGGATTTAACTTCAATTTCTTAGGTAGTTCTAAATCCTTAATGGTTTCCAAACACAAAATACAAAAGTTTTCATCTTTTTAAATTTTAAATTTTCGTTCGAACAATGACTAAAGTGTTCAACTTAGGAGTATGTCAATAAATCATGACGAAGAACGATTGTTTAATCATTAGTAAACAAATGAATGATGAAGTGTTATCCTTATAAATAAAATAAATACATGATATAAATAAAGTTGCTCGTGAGCTAGAAAGATATATTTAAGCTCTAATAGCTGTCAAGTAAC